TGTTCTTTACCAGTGTAAATATTGAGAGTTCTCCCCTGCCCCATTATATACTAGTTTAGTCTGCTTTTGTTATATAGTATTTTATTACTACTGGGTAGTTCTGAGTATTTTCTAATTCTTATTAATTTCTTCCTTAAAATTGGTTTAGGATATCAGAGCTTATGGTTTTTTCTGGTAACCCTTCTGTTATTGATTTCTAATTGTACTATACTCATATAATTTGGTTTTTTTGTTCTCAGTACTTTGGAATTTTTTGGAGGCAGCTTTATGTCTTGGCATGTTGTCAAAATTTGTAGATGTTCTGTGTGTGTGTTTTAAAATGATATTCTCCAACTCATAGGTGGAGCATTACATGCATGGTGCTCTTTTTTTTTTTTTGGGGGGGGGTCTTGTTGGGTTATCAATTACTGAGAATTACAGTAAAATCTTATGAAGGTGAGTTTGTTTCTTCTTTTATGTCTGTCAGTTTAGCTTTACATATTTTGAGGTTATGTTGTTTGGTCTGTACATGTTTAGAATCATTATGTCCTGGTTATCCCCCCCACCTTTTTTAAGCTCTGTGTATGGCTCCTTTTAATCCTTATTCTACTAATGCGTTTCCCCCTAATATCTCTTTTGCTTATTATTAATATATCTAACTTAGTTATTTGGTGGGAGGGGAAGGGTTAATAGTAGCTTCTACTTTTTCTGAAATTTTGCATAAATTTGGGGAAGAACCTACTAAAACAAGAAAAAACTCACAGAATTTTGTGGAGGACCAGCAAATCTAAATATTATGTATTTGGAAGAATTAATGTAAAATATGCAAACTTCCAGCCATATTTGTAAGGAAAAACAATGAAAAAAGATCCAAATATACAGTATTAGCATTTAAAAAGGGATCAAATATATCTATATTGTATAGTTTTAAAACAAAAGAAAATTATTTTATTTTATTCCAGTAAATTTGAAAATTTCAGTGCAACGTATAAATTTATAGAAAAATATAGTTGTCACAAAAAGAAATGGAAAATATGAAAATGACAATAATATGAAAGTCAGCTATTAAAAGTCCACTGGAAAGATGTTTTCATTAGCATGTTTTATCAGACCTTATAGTCAGAGTCTTCACTTTCATGTTCTTTTTTTTTTTTTTAAGATTTTCATTTTTTTATTTGTCAGAGAGAATGAGAATGTGAGCACAAGCACAAGCAGGGAGAGCAGTAGGCAGAGTGAGAAGCAGGCTCCCTCCTGAAGGCAGATGCTCAACGACTGAGCCATGCAGGCGCCCGTCTACTTTCATCTTCTAAAAGTTTTCTAGTTTTGTTTATCACCTTGAGATCTTTAAACAAACTGTATTTTGTGTAGACACTGAAAAAGGAGAGAAAGCTACTTAAACATACTTAAAGAGGTTGATTGATCATTGGTCCCAAACCAGATGAAGACAGTATAGAAAAAAAGATAATTGTAGACCAGCGCTGTTTATGAACACAGATGTAAAATTTTAAAAATCAGAGCAAAGCAATGTCATCTGTGTATTAAATAAATTCATTACAACCAAGTATGGTTTATTTCAAGGTATGTAAAGATGTTTCAACTTTTAAAATCTTCTTAAGTAATATACTAAATTGAAAGAATGAAATAGAAAACCAAATCCTCTCAATGGAAATTGTAATTAAGTCATATCAGCTGTGTATGAGAATACCTGTTATTCATAATTCAAACCCCCACAAACACTTGGTGGTTTCACTTTTTTTTTTCTTTTTGCGGGGGTTTGGGGGGATTTGGTGGTGGTGCGCATTTGATTGGTAAGGAATAGAATATTTCTAGTATGTTTGTTTGCATTTCTCTGATTTCTTGTGAGTGCCATTTTCTGTTTATTAGCCATTTGTATTCACACGGAACATTTTTAATGGAAGAGTAACACTTATTGCACAATTTGTTTACTTGAGGACAGGGACTATTTATCTTTGGTATCTCTAGCATCTTATAAAATGGCTGGCATACAGCACAGGTATTAGAATGTACTTTGAGTAAATTGAGTAAATGATTAGTAAAACTATGAGCCTTCAGAAGAAATTTGTGGCTTAACTCATTTTTGAATGTCAAAATAGAATACTTTTGCATTGCCAAGGAAATGGGATTTTTACCAGCAGGTTTCAGAAAATAAAGAATAGATAGGATTGTTTTTAAAATTTCTGTTAATGCTGAAGTCTCCCATAAAACTTGGAAAACTCATAAAATCCTAATCACACATGATTGTATATTACTCATTTGTAGTGCTTTCAGGGCATATGCTAGTGTATGGAAAAATGATTTTTTCTTTTGGCATACTATCATCCTTTGTATCTTTGCTAAAAGATCATTTTAGCAACCGTTTATGTACCTGAATTGTATAAATTTCATTTATAGAGAAAATTTCATTTAATTTTAAAAAATAGTTTCTTTGAGGGATGCCTGGGTGGCTCAGTTGGTTAAGCAGCTGCCTTCGGCTCAGGTCATGATCCCAGCGTCCTGGGATCAAGTCCCACATCCGGCTCCTTGCTCTGTAGGGAGCCTGCTTCTCCCTCTGCCTCTGCCTGCCATTCTGTCTGCCTGTGCTCTCTCTCTCTCTCTCTCTCTCATAAATAAATAAAATCTTAAAAAAAAATAGTTTCTTTGAATCATTGAATACCCCATCAGAAACTAATGATGTACTATATGTTGGCTAATAGAATTTAACTAAAAAAAGTTTCTTTTCCTGTTCTGCAATAGTGTTTCAGGGGTTTGAAAATGCTCCATTTTTGACTTTTTAGATAAGTAGGATGTTACCTAAAAGAAGGTAGATTAGATTACAAATAACTGTAGATTACAAATAACTGTAGTTGTCTGTGATGAAATGCTGTTTTTGGATTTAGTGTCAGTAATGACACAAAAATATGGAGCATATACTTTATTTGGGTTCAGGTTATTTGAAAGTGTTGAGGTAGGAGGAATATAAAGTGAGGTAGAAGCTGTATTTAAAGAACTGCTAGGGGCACCTGGGTGGCTCAGTGGGTTAAGGCCTCTGCCTTCGGCTCAGGTCATGATCCCGGGGTCCTGGGATCGAGCCCTGCATCGGGATCTCTGCTCAGTGGGGAGCCTGCTTCCTCCTCTCTCTCTGCCTGCCTCTCTGCCTACTTGTGCTCCTTGTCTGTCAAATAAATAGATAAAGTCTTTAAAAAACAACAACAACTGCTAAATGTTATGTTGTAGGCTGCTGTATGATGTTTTTTAGCTGTAGCTGGCAACTGGACCAGCACTAGACTCATACTGGCTGACTCCACATCTTTATTTTTATTTTATATATTCTGTACCTACCCACCTTAACCATGTATTTCTGAAACGCTGATACAGAAGCTGGGAAAGGGAGGGACACAGCCTCAGATTACTCCTAGATGGATAGATGACTAATCTTCCTTGTGGTTCCCTTATGTTCCACCTACAACTTTGCAAATAGTCTGTTTGTCCTTAAACTTTCCTCCAGTTATGATGTATTACCGTTTGGAACCCTGACTGGTACACGGTGGCCATAGTCTCACCAATTTATCCAGTCTGGTTTGTTGAAAAACCAAGGTGCCTTAGTAATTTTTTCAAAGTGTTCACTTCATTTGGTGCCATTGTTTTGCATGTTTTCTTTTTCCTAGGATGAGCTCCTCCATACCGTCATTCAAATTTGTTATTCCTTTGATCATCTTCTTAGTTGTGTGAATTCCAAATAGCCAATCTCTATTTCCTTTCCTTATTATCTAAAACACCAACACAGAAGTCTCTACTAGACTGAGATATGCAGTGTGGAATACCCTTCTTTTCTAATTTAGTCGGGCGAAATACCTTCAGAACAAATCAAGTTGTAAGGACTGCCTTGCCTGTTTCACTCTCCTAATGCTCAAATAAATATTACTCTTGCCCCAAGGAGGGAAGGGGAAGAGACCAGTTATCTATAGATCATGACCCTTTAATCATATTACTCCTTTTTTTGTGAGACCGAAGAGGGACATGAAGGGAGGAAAGGAAAACAGGTTGACATTTCTCTTAGAGGCAGCAGAACATACATTGATTTTAAGATTTTTTAAAAATGTCAGTTTATCAGCTGTTATTAATAGGGTGTCTGAATTCCTTGTATGGTATTCAAGGCCAATTACATTTTCCACTTTCTGGGTCCATTTTCTTTGCCTTTCTTCTCAAAATTCTGTAACAGCAGTGGAATATTTATTGTTATCACCTCAAGGTCATTTTCTTGCCTCTCTGCATTTGCTTATATTTGCTCCCTGTGCCTGGAATGTCTCCACTAACCCAGGCAAAGTAGCAGAGTTCTACTTAGTCCTCAAGGTGCAGTTCTGTGTTATTTCGTCTGTGAAATATTAGTGTTCCATTCTCACCTATCTTAAAGCACTTTATATTTACCTCTCTTAGAAGTTTCATCCCACTCTTAAATTTTGTATGTGTGTCTACTGTCTGTCTGCCCTGAAGACTTAGAACTTCCTGAAGAAGGAAGGTATCATACTGTACTGATAATTGTTCAAACTCTGGTGAGTGCCACCATGTTTTATATAGTGTAGATTCTTGCTAATGGAGTGTTAAAAGGGTATATAAATGAATGAGTGTGAAAGAAATCTGAATTTACGTGGTTGGAATTGCTGAAACTCGTTCTTCCATGAAATTTGCTTTTACTTCTTGGACATTTGTTGTTAAAATAATATGTCTAGCATTGAGTGTTAGAATTCTACATGAAAATGAATTGGCCTCCTTTGTACATCGCTGTTACTTTGCATTATTTCTTATGTTATTAGAAGTATGTTTATCATGAAAAATGTAATTCACATGCAAGAAATAAAGGAAATTGTTTTCTTATGGAAATTAAATGTATTTTTTCTTAATATAGTTTGATGGGATTATGAGGTATTTTGACTTCATTCTTAATTATCATTTGAATATTTATTGCTTAAGAAATGCCATTATGTATATATCTAATGTAAGTAATTGATGTTCTTCTGTTTCAGCCAAACCATTTACTTCTAAAGTGAAACAGATGCGCCTACATAGAGAAGACTTTGAGATACTGAAGGTGATAGGTCGAGGAGCTTTTGGAGAGGTAAGAGATAAAGTTTTTATAAAAGTTCTACTAATTGTTGTGGAAAAAATTTTACACAGTTTATGAGAGAATTTAACTGAAGTACGATGTCCTTGCTATCATTATATGATCAATCAGAAAATATATTAGTGTTTGGATGAAATATTTCTACATGGAATTTTTTTCCAAGATGTTTTTCTTCACATGTCAATGGAAGTTTCCTTGTGCCAGTACCACAGTCTTACATACTCTAGATTAAGAAGTTTCAGTATCTGGTATTGTAATTCCTCCAGCTTCCTTCCTCTCCTCCTCTGTTCTTGGCCCTTGATATTTTCATATAATTTTACACTGAATGTTTCAGTTTCAGAAATACTCTTAAAAATCCACACCCATACATCTGCTTGAATTTTGATTAGGATTGCACTGAAATAGGAGATTTATTTGTAGATAATTGATACCTTAATGATACTGAGTCAGCCAGTTGATAAAGGAATGTGGTATTCTTTGTTATTTTAATTAGAATTGTTAAATTTTATTTTCTAGTTGTTTTTTGCTAGTAATTAGAAATATCGTGGAATTTTGTTTGCCTTCATACCTAGCAACCTGGTTGATTTTACTTTTCAATTATGAATTGTGTTGGATTTTAAGAAAATGTTTTATCAGCATCTTTTAAGACCCTTAAGGCTTTTCCCCTTTACTCTGTTAATGTGTTGAATTATAACGATTTAGTTTCAAATGTTAAACTAACCTTGCATTTCTAAGATAAGCCCAACCTTGTATTATCTTTATGTCTCATTGCATTTAGCTTACTCTGTGTGTGTGTGTGTGTGTGTGTGTGTGTGTGTGTGTGTGTGTGTCTGTGTTCAGATTCTTGAAGAGAAACTGGCCTGTAATTTTCCTACTTAAAATACCAATCAGGGGTGCCTGGGTGGCTCAGTGGGTTAAAGCCTCTGCCTTCGGCTCAGGTCATGATCCCAGGGTCCTGGGATCGAGCCCCACATCAGGCTCTCTGTTCATCGGAGAGTTGGCTTCCTCCTCTCTCTCTGCCTGCCTCTCTGCCTACTTGTGATCTCTGTCTATCAAATAAATAAATAAAACCTAAAAAAAAATAATAAAATACCAATCAGATTTTGGGATTTTGGTTTTGCTGGCCTCTCTTATTGTTCTCTGGAAGAGTTTGGGAAGATTGTTATTATTTCTTCCTTAAATGTGTAGAAGATTCCACTTGTGAAACCATTGGGCCTGGAGGTTGCCAATAAGACAGTTTTAATTTCTTTAGTGGAAATCAGATTGGATTTTCTATCTATATGTTAGTTTTGCTGAGTTCACCCATGTCATCTAATTTTTCACAGTTATTACTATACTTATTTTTACCTCTCATTTTTTCATTTTTCATGCTAGAGCTTTATCAGTTTTATTTTTTCAATGAATTAACCTTTGCCTTTTGAATTTTTCTATTGTATATTTGTTTGTTTCAGTAATTGCTGCTTTTAATATTTTCTTCCTTTTATTCTCTTTTTTTTTTTCTTAAGATTTTATTCATTTATTAGAGAGAGAGTAGAAGGCAGACGCTTAACCAACTGAGCCACCCCGGCACCCCTTTTTTCTTTTCCTTCTTTTCCTTTCGCGGGAGCATGAGCAGGGTAAGGGCAGAGGGAGAAGTGGGCTGTACTCTCTTGTTTGAAGTTGCTATTCTTTTATAACTTTTAGAGATAGATAATTAGACATTGATATCTAGCCCTTCTTTTCAAATGTGTGTTTAAGGCTGTACGATTTCCTCTAGGCAGCTTTATCTACAGCTGATAAGTTTTGATATGTCATATTTTCTTTGTTATTTTGCTCAAAATACAGTGTGTTTCTAATGTGATTTCAAATTTCCATTGTGTTTTCTTTCTTTTTATCTATTAACTTAGAAGTTTGTTGTTCAATTTCTAAATACTTGGAGGGTTTTCTAAGTGTATTTCCGTTACTGAGTTGCAGTGTAATTCCCTAACAGTCTCTGTGCGTGATTTCAGTCTTTTGAAATTTGCTGTGCATTGTTATACAAATATTAGGTTAAAATCATTAACCTTGTTCAAATCTTCCACATCCTTACTTTATTTTCTCTGCTTGATTTGTCATTTCCTGATAGAGGATTTGTTTAGTCTTTATTTCTTTTATTTTTCACTGATAACAAATATAAAGTTATTGTATCTTCCTGGTGATTAACTCTTTTAATCATAATAGAATGATCCTTGTTGTCTCTAAATAATGCTCTTTGAAATTTTCCTTAATTTGATGTGACTAGAATGATTCTGGGTCTTTTTATTAGTATTTTCATTAAATATCTTATTCCATCCTTAGAATTTTAGCTTTCTATAATCTTATGGTATGTTTACTGTTCAGTAGAATATAGGTTTTATTTGTTTGTTTGTTTGTTTTTTTAAGGGAACTCTACCCCCAGGTTAGGGCTTGAACTCATGACCCCCAAGATCAAGAATCACATTCTCTACTTTGTTTTTTAAGATTTTATTTATTTATTTGACAGATCACAAGTAGGCAGGGAGGCAGGCAGAGAGAGAGGGGGAAGCAGGCTCCTTGCTGAGCAGAGAGCCCCATGCGGGGCTTGATCCTAGGACCCTGAGATCATGACCTGAGCCAAAGGCAGAGGCTTAACCCACTGAGCCACCCAGGCTCCCCTTTGTTTTTGTTTTAGCTTTTTTTTTTTTTTAAGATTTTATTACTTATTAAGAATCCCATTCCCTACTGACTGAGCCAGCCAGGTTCCCCAGTTTTATTTTTTAATCCAGTCTGATAATCTCATCTTTTAATTGAAGTATATAGTCATTTGACTATATGTAATGGAATTATTTATTACTATTTGTTTTCTATTTATCTTGCCCATTCTGTATTACATATTTAATTCCTGGTAATGGAGAATTTTAAATTATTCTCTCCCTCATTTATTAATTTCTTAGTTTAACTTTTCATTTGGTTTCTCTAGAGATTGCCATGCGTAGTCTTGGCAAATTTGTATTTTGCTAATTCTGATTTATCTGACTTAAACCTTTTTGGGTCATTGCTGTTGTGTCTTCAGTAGTACATATATTTAAAACCTCCAAACTACTGGTTCAGTTCCTTTAGATGTGCGCATACATTCACATTTTTCTCTTGCTCTTTATAGTGACAGACTCCCCTTTGGTAACATTTTCATTTTGACTTAAAAATTCCTTTTATTATTTCATCCTGCCTGATGATAAACTGTCTGCTTTTATTTGTCTGAAAATACATTTATTTTGAGGTCTTAAACTTTTTTAAAAATTGAGTTCTGTGCACACTTGACTCAATGGATTTTTACATTTGCATATACTCGTGTAAGCATTACGTACAATAGGCACCCACTGCCACCTCTCTGTGAGTAAGCACCTCCATATTAATTATTTCTGCCGACTTTATCACTGTGGATTTATTTTGCCTGTTTTTGAATTATTTATTAATGGAATTATATAGTACATACTCTTGTTTCTGGCTTTTTGCTCAACGTTATACTTGTGTGATTCATCTTTGTATTAGTTCACAGTATTCCTTTGTATAAATATACCACAAGTTAGTTATTCATACTAATGTTGGTGGGTATTCAAGTTGTTTATAGTTTTTGGCCATGTTAGTGTTGCTATGAACATTCTTGTACGTGTCTTTTGGGAGACAGAGACACTCATTTGTGTTTCATATAAACTTGCTGGGTCATTGGATAGGCCTGCTCAGCTTTGGTAGATAATGCCAGAAAATTTCCCAAGTGGTCACCAGTTTGCTAATTTTTACCAAAAAACCCACCAACAGAGAAGGCTCCAGTTGCTCACAACCTCACCAACACTTGGTTATTTATTTGTTTTTAAAATTTTAGCAATTTTTTTGGAGTAGTAATATTGGATTACAATTTCATTTTATATTTTCTCTTAAGTCTTTAACTTATACCCATTTTCACATCACTGTACATAACTTAGATTTTGTGTGTGTGTGTGTGAAGTGCATATTCAGATGTTAGATTGGGAGTGGGTGGGGGATTGAGAGTGGGTTGTCTGACTTACTGATATATTCTGGGTACAGGTGCTTTGTTGGAGATAATGTATGTGTATGTGTGTGTATTAAATAAAATATCTCTTCCTTTCTGTGGCTTGGCTTTTCCCTCTCCATATAGATCTTTTATTGAAGAGAAGTTCTTAGATTTAGTAAACTCCAGTTAATTAAACTTCTTTATTATTAGTCCTTTTGTGTTCCTTTAAAGAAGGTTTTTTAAACTTCCAAGGTCATGAAGATATTTTCCCGTGCTATATTCTATAATCTTAAAAAAAATTTTATATTTTAGACTGTTTTCCATCAGATTTATAATTTTGTGTTTCTTGAGGTATAGGTCAAGGCTCATTTTATTCTTTGTAGGTTTTAAACATTTATGAGTGTTTGATTTTTCAGATGAGCTTTAATAGAATTGTTTTCTAACTTTGTACTAGAATAGAAATGCAATTGATTTTTGTATATTCATACTGTATTTAAGGATCTTGATATATTCACTTATTCTAGATTATATGTAAGTTTTTGAATTTTTCATAATTGTATTTCCAAATAATGGCAGCTTTTTTTTTTCCTTTCTGAACTTTATGCCTTTTATTTCTTATTCTTATATTACTGCAATGGAGAAAATCTTCCATAAAATGTTGAATTCAAGTGGTGAAAATAGAATTTTTGTCTGGTTTGTGATTTTAGGGTGAATTATTCAGTATTTTACTATTGCATTTGAAGTTTGCTGCAGATTTTTTGTTTGTATTGTTAGTCTTTTTTAGGCTAAGGTAGTTTTCCTTCTAGTCCTAGTCTCTTGAGAGTTTTTGCCATGCATAGAAGTTAACCTTTATCAAAAGTTTTTCTATATGTGTTTTGTTAATATGATTTAACTTCTATATTTGGTTACTGTGGGGATTATATTGGTTAGTTTTTGAATGTACCAATACTACATTAGTATATAAATCCAGTTGTTCCGTGTATCATTT